CAATTTTTTCGCGGTTTTGGCCGTTTTTTCACCCAATGGTTTCACCTAATGGAAAAAATAAGTCAAAAAATTTGCGAAAATATTTATTGTTGGGTTACGGTAGCACTCGTTTGCCGGCTGTGTTTTCGAAAATTCTCCTTGAAATACGGTGGCCTAACTTGTGTGAAAATTCGGCCACAACTCCAATTTTTTTGCACAAGAATAATAAGCGCGGCGCGATTTCGTCCCCCGAACTGTCCCCCGAAATTTTTGCTGTCTCGCCTTTTCTGATGATATTTTCTTTGCAAACCTAGTCAAGATTATATTCATTTTGAAGGAAATTTTTTACTGGTTTTGAAAATATATATTTCAAAAAAATTGAATGAATTCTCTCAAAATTATGAATTATGTTCAGATTCCCAATTTTTCCAAAAGTGTTCCAAATTTTCAAATGATCCTAATTCTCTTCATTTTTGCTCGTTTTCATTGATTTTTAGCTCTAAAATCTTCCAAATTTCAAGTATTTTCAAAATAACCAGAAGCCAAAACTCACAACAGCCGTAGAGTTGTACTGTCCCGGCTGGAATGGTTGGGCCTCTCCACCCAGACACTGTTGAAGGAACGTTTCGATATGTCCGTGTTGTTCCATGGAGTTCTGTGGTTTTCGGACACCGTGTCCCTCGTCTGGATACAACAGATATGTGACCGGAATGTTTTTTTTCTCGAGTGCCAACACGAATTGATCGGACTCGGCTTGTTTGACACGTGGATCGTTGGCGCCTTGAATGATCATAATCGGTCGGCTGACGCGGTCGGCGAAGAAGAGCGGCGAGCGGGATTGGAGGGATTGGCGGCCTTCCTCACTGAAAATTTTAAGAGTTTATATTTATTTTAAAGTCCCTGATAAGAACTATTGAATGGTGTAAATTTTGTAGAATTTCGATTTAAACTAAGAAAGTTAAAGGCATTTGAATTTCAAGTGGGTTACTTTCAAAATGTTTGATTTTAGACTTTCAGAATTTTCTATCTTTTCGAACTATCACTGGAAAAACCATATTAAGCGTTTGTAATCATTTTGAAGCCCTTGATACGAGCTTTTAAACTGTGTAAAATTTGTAAAATTTGGATGAAAAATAAGAGAGTTATGGGCGTTTTAATTTTATGTTCCAACCTGCCGTAAAACCTATAATATGAAGACTTTTACATTTTAAAGTTTAAGCTCAATTATCTCGGCTCCTATAAAAGATATCAAAAATATGACAACTGATAAAATGTTCATGATTTTATGATAAACATTTTGTCAGTTAACAACATATTGATATGTTTTATATGAACCGAGATATAGCAGCTCAAAGTTACGGTAGTTTAAGCTCCTAGAATTCACTTACGTCACAATATCAGCTCCAACCATCTTGATCAAATCCTTACGGAATCCAAGCCAATACGGTGGAATTGCCTGGACCAAGGAGATCAAATTCGATGGTCCCACAATATCAACTCCACAAGCAAAGGTCTGTGGAGTAAAGGTTAGTGCCACAAGTGTCTCATATCCTCCATAAGATCCGCCCATCACTGCTACCTCCGTTCGATTCGCAATTCCTTTCGAGACAGCAAACTCGACCGCGTCCAAGATGTCAAAGTGCATTTTGCGTCCCCATTCTCCGTTTCCAGCATTCGTAAGCCGTTTTCCAAAACCAGTGGATCCACGGAAATTGACTTGAAGAACGGCGTAGCCTCTGTTGGTCAACCAGGCATTCATTGGAGAGAATCCATAGTGGTCCCTGGCTTTTGGACCTCCGTGAACCAGGACAATCATTTTTTGAGGGACCGCTGGGATCATTCCAAGATTGGCGTATGGTCGATCAGAGTCCGGAACTTGGGATGACTTAAGGAGAGGAGCCTGTGGTGGAAGAGACAAATAAGCTTGAATAGTCATATCATCTCTAGCTGGGAAGTCGAATCCAACTTGTTTGTTCAAAGTGTACTTCTTTAATTCTGGTCGAGTACTCATGAACAGTTCAGCCTTCTTATTCCATCGTCGGTAGAGATAAATGTCATTTGGCTCGTCTGCCGACACAAATGCCACCAACCATGTCGACATATCTGAAAAATCGTTTTTCTATATAAGACCACGTCCCTCAAAAAGTTTCTTACCAAGACTCATCGAAATAATATTCAAGGATCCAGTTGGTTTCATATTGACCAAGTACTGCATGTCCTCCATAAAAGTGTCATTGGCCACGAAGATTTCTGGCTTATGATAGACTTCTGTGATAGCCAAAAGCGTCTTATCGACGGGATGAATCAAGACATTTCCGATTTGCGACTTTTGAGCGGTGTAGAGGATTTCTTTCTGTGCTGGGTCTTCGAATGGGAAGACAACCAGGTTTCCAAGGTCGCTACCCTCTCCCATGATACAGTACACGAAGTTGTTGGACTTGTCGAAAGTCAGAAGTCTGGAATATTTTGGTTTGAGTCTTTTTTTCCAATTATGCGCCTTTAAACTTGCTTGCTACGTAGTAAGACTAGAGATTTTGTCAGTTTAAAAGTTCCAAAACGAAATGGATAATGCTTAAACATGAATTGTCTAAAATTTGGTACTTTTGAGTCGAAAACGGATCTAGAACGGATCAAGAACGGGTTGAAAATAGGCTAGACCATGCTATCATGCTCTTTTGAACATAACTTATTACAAGTTCAGACATTTGTGGGTCAAAAACTGTTCAAAAAAGCTTCTTTTGGTCCGTCGTTGGCCCGTTTCTGGTCCGTTTTTTAAAAATCTCTAGGACCTAGTGTCTTTGACTCTGTTCATCTTAATTGCTTTACAAAAATCCTAACTATAACAATTCAAAAAATTAAGCTCCGCCCCTACTGCAAACCCGCCGCATAGTTTTTCATGTCATTATTTTTCAAAGTCTCCAGACGTCAACTTCAAGCTGATTTATCTCATTTCATGGGAAAGATATTAAAAAGTGATCCAATAACAAAATGTTCACCATCACATTAGAAATATTTTGTTAATTGACCACTTTTTGATATCTCTTACGGAAATCGAGATAAATTGATTTCAAATCAAGATGCGTTCTTACGCTTTGAAATATTTTTTAACTTACACTGTGAGTGCCTTATCATCATGATCAATTCTCAAGTACTCGGCCCACTCCGAAGGATCTGTTGACTTGACTGGTCCAGGATTCCTCGGCCGATAATAGATCATTTCTCCATCCGGACCTTCCTCACTAGCCAATCGAATATTCATGTCATTATCGAAGAAGAACATTGGGAATCGTCGATTTCTGAGAACCAGGGTAAGTTTGTCAGTTCGACAATCGAAAGCGTAGATATTGTGAAGTGCCGGATTCTCGTCATTCATGCCGATCAACACTGTCTCCGAAATCAAGTTATTCACGAAAATCGCTCCTTTCACCATTGGCTTATCGCAAACTGTAGTGCGGGCGGTTTTGTTGGCAGCGATGGCGGCCTAAAAATTTTCGAATTTGGAATTTTTGTCAAAACGTTGAGAGGGGTACCGATGTGATGTTCTTCTTGAAAATCTTGGTGTTCTCATCTCCATGGTTATCCTGGAGGAAGAGAATCACGTCTGGAACGGCGGTCCATACGTAATCTGAAAATTTGGGGGTTTCAAAGTGGCTCTGGACAGTTCTGCCTAACTTGTAATTATTACCCTTTCCGTGGGAGATTTATATGAAAAAGAACTAAAAAAAAACAAAAATCTGTGCAAATTAAACTAAAACGGATCAAAAACGGTTCAATGACGGACCAAAAAAAATTGTGGTCTCTGGGGCCATGTTTGGATGTTTTTGGCCTGTTTTGACCCGGTTTTTGGTCTGTTTGCAATCCACAAACGCCTTTGACTTCTAGAATTTCTCATAATTGGAACTTCGAAGCTCCAACTCCTCTGAATACTTGTGCCCCCCCTCCCCCCACCCTCAAATAGTCCATCAACTTTGAGCTCATGTATCTCGGTTCCTGTGAAGGATATCAAAAAGTGATCAACTAACAAAATATTACTGATAATATGATACACGTTTGGTTAGTTGACTAATTTTAGATATCTTTCACAGGAACCGAGAAAATCGAGCTCAAATTATTGATGAACGCGTCGCTGACTGCTCACGCGACCCTTACACTTGTAGCGCAATTATCTCGGTTCCTGTGATAGGTATCAAAAAGTAACCAACTGATAAAAAAAGGTGATATTATTATGAATAATTTATCAGTTGCCCACTTTTTGATATCTCTTACAGGAATCGAGAAAAATTAGGTCAAAGTTAAATAACCCTAAAAAAATAAAACTCACTCAAAACGGGAAGCTCGGTCTCAAAAGTGACTTGTCTTGAGTAGGAGCACGATGAGCATCTGGTGAACACATTTCGAACCCCATTCTCATCTGGAGCCACGTATCCGACTTGTTTGCCGTCTGGACTTAAGGAGACTGATGAGTATTTCGGATCTTGGAAGAGAATCTCTCTGGGGATGATTTCCACGGCATTTGTGATAAAGAAGTGTGTGATGATAAGAGCCAGGTAGAGCATGGTAGCTGGAGGAAATTGGTTTTTTTTAAAGATATAGGTTAGAGAAAAGAGAAATAGAGAGTCAGAGAAAAATGACCTTGATC